TACTAAGACACACCCTTGACTGGTTCTTGCCTGATTTAACAACTTAAAAGGAGGAAAAGAGTGGAGGCAAATATTGACCATCTTAAAATAAGCTGTGTAAATCAAAACATAACATAGAACCAAAGCTAAATTGTTGGTTATGGAATAATTCTAAGAGGCATTTTATAAATAATGACAATGATTTTTTTTTTTGAACTTTGCTTTTATTGGCTGCAGACAACAGACTTACATTACTAGCAACAGTGGTTGCAGAAGTGAGAAACTGCAGGACTGAAAAATACTTTGCATACAGCTCAACATTTCAGACAGTGAACACTACTTAAATGGGCAGTACTGTGTCTATGCAAGACTGGATAGCAAATAACCTGGCATGAGGTCATAGTTGAATTCACTCAGAAATTTTCAGAAATTCAAACCAGGACACCCAAACTGAACTTTTCAAGAATCATTTTTCCATTAACAGATTTTAAACAAAGGATAATCCCCTTCCAGGGGCTCTTTTTCTGTACTTGACCTTATTTTTTTAAGGATGGAAAAAGTAGTCGTTACTATAATACTAATGATTTTCTCAAACCAGGTATATCAGAACAGAAGCCCCTTAAGCAAAGTGTTAAGTTAGAATTATTGATTATCTTTGTTTGTTTGTTTGTTTGTTTGTTTTTTCTGTGGCAGGGTTTCTCTGTGGCTTTGGAGCCTGTCCTGGAACTAGCTCTTGTAGACCAGGCTGGTCTCGAACTCACAGAGATCCTCTTGCCTCTGCCTCCTGAGTGCTGGGATTAAAGGCATGTGCCACCAACGCCCAGCAATTATCTTTAAAGATAAAACTTGTCCCAAGCAGTTCTGAATAAGTTGCTGCAGATATCAAAAATATTTTAAATAAACACAATTCACACTCAAACTTATCAGGAGAACTAAACATAAATAGTGTAATTGTTCACTTAGAGCTGAAATTTCATTTTCCTGTAGAGTTTACATTGGAATTCTATGTCTGAATTCCCTGAATACATTTTCTTAGGGGAGTATTCCATAAACATAGATTCCAAAGAGAAGTGCAACTGCCACAAAGTTCTGAGATGCAGGAAAACTCTTCATCTATTTGGGCCTCAGTTTTGCCAACTGTCAAATGGAAATTCTACTACTTGGCCTTCATCTCTTATTTCTCAGAGACCCAAGAAAAGCATGTTTCCAGGCTTTGAGTCTCAAAATGTCCTTGTAACCCAAGAAAGGGCAATCCCATAATGAAGAAATAGCTCAGGAATGGTCCATGATTGCATAAGGCCTTGAACACATTTCTATCTTTGGAAGCTGAAAAAATGCAGAATTCACTTTGAGATCCACACACAATTGTAAATACACTTGCTTACTGTCAATTGCTCTCTCTACTCTTTACTCATAACTGGAGGCAGTGGTTTAAGAAAGCACTAAGCTGGGAAATGGGGGAGCTGACATTAAAGTGGCCTGGCACTCATCTAGAAACTGTTTAACCACGGGAGTCGGACATACTATTAGACATACTTAGAATGTTATTTTAAATGGCATATCCTCTTCATCATGGCATTGTTCCCCACATCTAGAAACACTGTTGCCCTTCCCTTGGCCTGTAGTCCGCTGACAGCCACACAGCAGGAAGAGAATCTTCAGTGCATGCATGCAAGAATGTTTTAGATCTTTAGACCTTAGCAGTTATTCCTTCTAGATTACTATGTCAGAGGAGTCTATTTTGTAATGGGATGGTGCATGTGATAATGTCAAGGGTCAAGGAAAGGTTTCCTTGGAAATATTCAACTGAGAAAAATAAAACAATGTTAATCAAGAAAAGTCATGGACTTCACAGAACACGCCTCATAGTATTTAGGAGTAGGCTATAGGGAATTCTGGACTTATTAACACAATTGGGTCTTCACATGCTTCCCTCCTCCTTCTATCCTCAACACCCCAAATGTACTGACTCAGCAACTGGCCTAAAGTCAGAGCAGCTCAGTGCTCATTCAGAGTATGAAACAATGTTCAGTTCAATTATGACAGAATGACTGCAAACCCATTCCTGAAATCAAGAAAACCTGAACAATATGGTTAGCTTATATTAGACATGAGGGCTTAACAGAGTTTAAAAACTAATTTGAAACTTCCATCCTCACATAAAGATAGCATTAAGATTGAGGGCAAAACCATTCAGTTCAAGGAATGGGAACAATAAGGAGTTATACAGCCTCCTTTTGACATTATCCTTCTTAACCAACATGACCTAGTCCCTCGGACATTTAATACTGACCCAGAAAGAAGACAATTTCATGAAAACATTTTTGTCACATTATGCCCAGATAGCAATATCAGTTTCACTGCTAAAAACAAGTTTGCAATTCAAAATATCTTCCATCTGTCACTAATATTCTATTTATTTCCAATTCATCTTTCCAAAGATGACCACAGAAGACCTACAAGGCGTTTTGTTGCAAATCCAGCAATTCATTGGTCTTTTAATATCAATAAGTCATAAGCTTGTACAAAGCAGAGTTTAGTCCGAAGGTTGAAAATATCCATTCTGTGACCAGGCCCTGGCAACTCTGAGTTGTGTAAGAGTCTACAATCTCCTGAGTCATAACTTTGTTCTTTCACAGCTACCATTAATAAAATATTTTGAACTTTTGGAACTGGGAACTGATTTTAGTTAAGGAAACTGTTCAATTCTTTTGTACATTACATATTTTGTTTATTCCTATTTTTTCCTTGAACAAGGGCATATGCTTATATGTTTTGTTTAACACTACTTTAAAGTTCATGGGAAGAAAGAATTACATTTCAGGTAGAAAATTCTCTTAGTATAAAACAGGGTTCTGATCTCTAAATCTAACAAGATCCACATAAGTTTCTATTTAAACACGAAAATCTTTTTTCCACAGTATATTTCAGATGGCCGCAGCTGACTTTCTATTAAGTAATATAATAGTGTTTTTTTTCTTAGCTTACAAAAACCATATATGATGGGGAATGTACTGTGTATGTTTATCTTATTGATTGTTAAATAAAATACTGTTTGGCCAATGAGACAGCAAGTTAGACGGGATTAGGAGTCAAAGAGGATTCTGGGAAATGTAGTAGAGAAGTGGTGATCCAGGCAGGAAGTGACATAGCAAGGAGATTTATATTTAAAGAAGGAGAAACAGGAAGCATGCCTCTTTTCCACTCTGCTCCTGCTTCAGTGGCACAATGTGATCCACCGGCAAGGAGGGACGCCAATAAGGCATCTGATAAGATAAGTCTCATAAGATATATAGATTTATGATAATTAAGACTGAGCTAGCAGATGAGAATCCTACTCATTGGCCAAGCAGCTTTGAACCTAATACAAGTCTCTGTGTATTCATTTGGGCCTAACTTGGGCAGGCGGCTGGCATAAAGTTCACATGTGGCAATGGGGCTCGGCGACTTTTGGCGGAAAGATTTATTTATCATAACACATATATATTAAGAAGTAAAAAAAAAAAAATCAAATAATTCAATGTCACATCCTTTCCCTCTGACTGAACTAAAACCCATTTTCCTATTATTTCATTATTAAAATGAGGAAGTACTGGAACAATAAAAGGAAGTTCATGTGTTTATAACTATAACATTCTGGTTTGGGTTGTAATCAAGTAAACAGAAGGAAGCAGCATATACCCCATAACTGTGTGTGTGTGTGTGTGTGTGTGTGTGTGTGTTGTGAATTTTGAACTCCACTGGGATATTGTTAGTAAAGGAGGGGAAAAACAAACAAAAAACACAACTATGGCTTTTCTTCACTGTTATTTAAGCAATTTAGCTTAAAATAGTAATGTGACAGGTCCTTTCCCCTTGAGACACAATCAAATTAAGATGCTGATGGCCCAGGTAAGTTAGTAAATTAGCATACCTTCACAGATAATTCTTCAAATACTTGCTGAACAGATAAGGTGAAGGGCTTAGGTAAAGGGCTGAGCAGGGTAAGCCTGGAAGGTGTGTAGATATAGAACCGTTGGGCCTTTCAGCCTGCATAGTCATCTCAACACAACAAATGCTCTACAATTCACCAGGCAGATCTGCTTAGAGGGCAGTTTGGCGACAGTCTGGATTTTCAAACATACCCTTCCCTGGTCCAAGCTGTTAATCAAAGAGTTACTTCTAACTGCATTTAGTCACTCTGTGGAAGGTGATTCTCTCTGCTGCTTTCCCACTGGTGTTTTTGTGTTCTTTATAGGAGTAGCCTTCCTCCAGGGACATTGCCTTTTGTCTATAGCATGAACTGAGTGTATGAAATGTCAGGTACTAGAAACATAGAAGTGATTAAGACACTATCCCTGCTCTTAAGGAACTTAGGGTAGAGGAAAGACTGACAACACAACAGCACAGTGATGAAGGCCAACAACGTAAACCAGTCATTACTGGAAATTACTGATGTTATATGTTGAATACAATTTGAGCAAGTTCAAGTGCTAGAAGCTCCGCCCCCACTACTACAATGGCAAGTTGACAAAACCTTTAAGAAGTAGAGCCTAGAAGATATTTGATCAAGGAAGATTATAGTGAAAAGGGGGGGTGGTTAATGTTGTTCTCTCTGACTGAAAAGGAGTCCTTTCTGTACATGGTTGGTCCCTTTTCTAGTTTTCTAGTGTGATAGGACATAGCCGGGACCCTTTCCATGCCTTTGGCATCAGTGTATTTATATCTTCCAGCCTCTAGAATCAAGAGCCAAAGATTGACACCTAAAAGCAGCAGGCATTTTAGGTTTACATCTCTGGGAGGTTAACTCTTAGATAAGAACTGAAAAAGAAGAGAGGTACTGTCTATATGCTTTCTGATCCCTGTGCCTACCTGTACAGGAATGGGTTAGGGATGTGGAATCATGTATTTGTGTGAATTAGCCACAACATTTCATTTTATATACCCCTCCCCAATGACTTTGTCCCTAGAACTTGCTAGATATACAAAAAGAAGAGCTGGAGAAGCTCACTTAGTCCTGCTACATGTATAGACACACATACCTGAGCCAGAGGATATCTCTCTTTAAAACAACTGCAAACAGAAATAAAATCTCACTCAGGAACTATTCCAGCTGGCTTTTGGTTTCTTCTGATGTATATCCCTTGAATAAAACTGCAAAAAATTGTATTTACAATAAGGATCATAAAAAACCCTCACTAAATCACACCACATCACCTCAACATCTTACTATATTTGAAGTCCCAAGCACGAGAAATACTAACTAAATATATTGGCCAGCTAGAGCATATACAAGATATGAAATACAAAAAAAAACTTTAATTAAAACAAACTTATTTTGAAGACATCTCTCCATAGTGCCTCTCAATACAGTGCCCCTGTGAATACAATATTGTACTGGAACAAAATAGAAACACAGCTCAAAAAATTCTCAAGTTAGAAAAATATTTGTTCCTATTATACTTGAAAATAGTCTGTCTAAATAAAACTGCATATTCCTCTAGTAAAAGAGACAAAACCCTGCCAATAGTCTGTCTAAATAAAACTGCATATTCCTCTAGTAAAAGAGACAAAAATTACTGATCCTTTTCTGGCAGGTAGCTTCAAGTGGACCATAGCAAACAGGGAGGACAATTTGGAGCCTGTTTAAAGTACCTATAAATTTTAATTTTCACAACTGCATCTTTCTGGTTCCAGGCAATTCTTCAGTACAGCAAGACTCCAGGTTATTGGGTTTCAACATCTTACACAGAACCATGATTAGTTCTGCCTTATCTCAGGAAAACAATAACTCAGCATTTCCCAGGACATACTTATTTCCATGCTTTCTGCTGCTACTGGTGGTGGTTTGTACAAACAAGGTCTCACTATGTCTTCAGGCTGGTCTAGAACTTAATATCTGGCAGCCTAAACTGTAATGCTGGGATTGTAGGTAAGCACCACCACCAGGCTGTTTCCCTTGCATTTTATTCTCTGCTGTTTACCTGTTACACACCTCATGTTAAATATTGGTAGAGTGCATCATGTGCATTTTAATAAGCTACTCCACAGAATCTTACTGAATGAGGAGATAACTGTGGCCTCTAAGAGCCATCTCAACTTGTTCAATGTTCTACTGAGACAGCCAGAGTGGCTAATTAACCAAGGCAACCAATGTGTAGTTAGTTATAGGAGCCCGTCTTAAGTTGGGAAATTGACTACCAATGTCGGGATATAACATATTCTAAGTACCATCCCTGTGTTTAAGGAACTGGGAATCTCTGGGTCATGCCAGACCACGTGTTTTTGTTGTTTTTAAAGAAGAACACTAGAAATTCGTTTTATATAAACATGATCAATAAGGATAAGGCAAACTTCACTTAAAGGGAGCCTTAGAAACAATCAGATACTTATTCACGGTAGTGACAACTGTCAGAGACTTTATACCCTTGGACTCATTAAAAATTGTATTAGTTGGTATTTGTCAGGGGTGAGTGACGGGGCTAAGTATTTGTTGAGCACTGTAATGTCTGATTTATTCTTCTATTGTCCACAGCCCAGAGGGCTGCTTCTGCCCAATAAAGCAAAGACGGGGTCCAGAGGGGCCTGACACTCACAATGTTCCTTCCTGCACTTTTCAACCTTTTCACCCCCAATTAAAGGTCAACATGGCTGCTCAAAAACATTTATTTAAAAAGGCAGTCAACTCAGCAGGCTGTCAAGTGTGATATTGCCACTTCATAGAATTCAATTAAACCCGGGACCAGGGCATCTGTGAATCACTGGAAGAAGCATGAGTTGAGACATTTTCTGCTTTCTTCGAAAAGCTGTATTTTCCCTCCCG